TACTTGTATTCAGTTTCTTACTGTATTAGGCTTAGACTTGCATATTTTGTTTTATTTTGCTTGGTAACTTACTTTGTTCTGTCTGTTATTACTTGGAACCACTTAAATCCTACTTTTTATACTCAATAAAATCACTTTTGCTTATTAATTAACCTAGAGTGAGTAATTAATACCTGGGGGAGCAAACAGCTATGCATATCTCTCTATCAGTGTTATAGAGGGCGGGCAATTTATGAGTTTACACTGTATAAGCTTTATACAGAGTAAAACGGATGTATTTGGGGTTTGCATCACATTGGGAGCTGTGCGTCTGGGTGCTGGAGATAAGTAACCTGCTAAGTGGTTTTCAGTCAAAGCCTGCAGCTTTGGAGGACGTGGTTCAGACCTGGGTCTGTGTTTGCAGCAGGCTAGCATGTCTGGCTCAACAAGGCAGGTTTCTGAAGTCCCAAGCTGTCAGGGAAAACGGGCTCAGAGGTAGTCTCAGCACATCAGGTGGCAGTCCCAAGAGGGTCTCTGTGACCAAACCTGTCACACTCATCTCTGACTTTCCCATTTTATTTGGCCTACCCTTCGCTTTCAATCAGATTCTACTTGGTCTCTTTTCACCTTTTCCTCCGACTCACATGATATGGTGACTGTGAGGAAGGGATTTCCAAATAGGTGAGGCAACACAAGTGAAAGAACTAGTTATGGAGGTGATGGAGAGGCCCCTGTGACTGCATCAGATGAGTATTAAGCTGGAGAGACAGGGGAGACTGACAGGAAACAGCACAACCTTGTCTACAATGAAGATGAAACCACGTTGGAGAACCAGCATTAAATGTGATTTTAAAACAGTTCAGGCTAAGACAGTTTAAATGTGTCTCCCTGGTTATTGTAGACCAGGCACAGCCATTCTAAAACTTTTGAAAAATGTTAATCCACAACATGTATTTTTTAAATATGGTTTCTAGTTAAGCGCTTTTAGTTAGGTATATAGCAATTAAATAATAAATCCAAGGAAGAGGGGACGTAGCTCATCAGTGGACAGACCATCGGAAAAGGGGAGAAGGGAAGAAAGGAAGAAGTGAAATGTGGTCCATATAGTGCTCATGAGTGAAGAGTGTGTAAAATGCACACACAGTTTTAAAGGTTCACACTGCATAGTAATGGGTCATTGATCTCAGGTCTAGGACCAAGGACTGTGGGAAAGATGCTGTGCCTTGCCTCTAAGTGGTAGATCAATGGAAGAGGAACAGTATTTTCTCTTGAGACAGTATAGGATGGAAGCTCAAGAAGGATCTTTTAATTTTAAAAGGTCAATCCTAGGTCACAATCTATATGAGATTGTAAATTGGAGCAGTCTACCTTTTTTTGGAGGGGAGGGGTTCCAGTTCTATCAATAAGTAGATACTTCTAAAGTATTGAGAGCTGGACATCATAATCTGTTCCAGGTTACTTACCCCAAGTCTATGCTTACCAAACCAAGCCAGACTCTGGACAATATCTGGCAAAAGTATTTTCTGAGACTGGAGAATTCTCCCAATCTCTTACAGTAAGTGTTGATCGAGGATATTGGTAGTAACTAGCATATTTATCTGGGCTTTTGCAGTAGCAAGATAAGAGCAGTTCATGGGAATGGAGCTAGGACACCATCTTTTAGAAGGTCAAAAATACCTGTCAGGAATGGTCTAGTTATTATGTAGTCCTGCCTTGACTGCAGGGGACCGGACTAGAAGACCTACTGAGGTCCCTTGCAGCCCTACACTTCTATGATTCTATGTGAATTAGGGGAAAGGGTGGAGGGCAAATGTTTCAGCATTTCTGTACTGAGAAACTATCATTTCCAGGTTTGCCAGGCAGCCTGCTCTGGATTGCTCCCCGGACCTCCTAGCTGTCATCCTCGGATATCTAAATGAGGCTTAGATGCAGGTGATCTGTGCACCCGATCAATGTCTGTGTCCCAAGGCAGCTTGATTAATATGCAATGAAGGAATTAGCATGCTTTCCAGGACCCTTATATTGCAGTGCTGAGATCTTATCCCCTTTCTCCTGCAGGGCTTTTATCAAGTCAGGCAGATTTTGCCTCCACTTCTTGTACAGCCCAGGATTGGTCTTCCAAAGCCGAAACCTGTTCTTCAGCCTCTGCTATCCACAGTCAGATCATGCAGCAGCATCTGAACTGTGCCCAGAATGTACTGCACGCTTGTGATGTCATCAGAAGTACACCTCTACCCCGATATAACGCGACCCGATATAACACGAATTCGGATATAACACGGTAAAGCAGCGCTCCGGGGGGGGGGCTGGGAGGGGCTGCGCACTCCGGTGGATCAAAGCAAGTTCGATATAACACTGTTTCACCTATAACACGGTAAGATTTTTTGGCTCCCAAGGACAGCGTTATATCGAGGTAGAGGTGTAGTTCTGCACGAGTGAGCCTGCTACATGGCTGAGAGTCCGTTCTCAGTCTGCGTTTTGAGTGGTAGAGGTGTCACAGCTGTTTATCTCAACTCTTTCAATGTTCTTTGCTCCATCAGAGATTTGGAAGGTTTTGCTATCATCCATGTAAGTTCAAGTGCCTCTTAAAAGTGCTGTAGAAACTTTTCGGGTAAGGATGATTTAGGCAAACATCTAATTTGTAGGGATCTTGGTCACAGAGTTCAGAATCAGGCAGCCATCTTCCTTCTACAGCTCAAATGACTCCTTGTAATGATTATTTCATTGGTATTCTCAAAAGGTACTAGTGCACATTAGGGATTATATTCAAATTTGATCATTAAAAACAAATTCACTCCAGTGTAAAGCTATCATATGTCAGTCTTTAGGAAACAGTCTTTAGGCACAGGTGCTGAAAATAGAGTACTACAATAGAAACTAACTGAACCTGATACTAATGGCTGGGGAGCAGTAGCAAACTGCATGTCTAAATTTGGACTAGCTGACACAAAGTGCTAAGGTTTCAAATTTTAAAATATTGAAGTTTATACACATGTAAAGGTACATGAAGTTCATACACATGCATTTCCACACCAGTCTCAGCTCTCCTCCAACATTTAACAGTAGTGTTGAGTTTAGTGAGACACTGGGAGGAAAATAATTGGCTTATATTCACCTAGGAGTTCCCAGAGGCCAAGCAACCTGTTGAACTGAATCTTCAGAAGAAAAACAGAGCTCAACAGTGAGCTTTTAAAAACAGGAGACTTTGAGACAAACACAAGCGTAAAGCTGTTTTCACAGGGGGAAAGAGAGAGTGTTTTCTCCAGGACAACCTGCACTTTTAAACTCACCACAACTGACATGACTGAATTAAGAATTTGAATCAAATACACATACAATCACCTCTGTATCATTCCCTTTGGTTTAGGAAACCAAAATAAAAAAAGAACTAGATACATTGATGGAGGATAGGTCCATCAATAGCTTTTAGCCAGGATGGGCAGGGATGGTGTCCCTAACCTCTGTTTGCCAGAAGCTGGGAATGGATGACAGGGGATGGATCACTTGATGATTATCTGTTTTGTTCATTCCCTCTGGGGCACCTAGCATTGGCCACTGTTGGAAGACAGGATACTGGGCTAGATGGACCTTTGGTCTGACCCAGTATGTTCTTATGCAGATAGCTCTGCACTGTTGATATACTCTTGTCTTGCACATGGATAATAAAATCCAAGATATGTACAAAACAAATAAGCAATCTGCTTCCTTTTAGGGCTTGTCTGCATGTGGAAATTGACCAGAATGGTTACTGCAGAATAAACTATTCCAGAATAGCTCCCAGTGTGGACATTCATATTCCAGAAGAAGGCCTTTTTCCATTTTAGCTTAATCCACTTTCAAGTGGATGCTCTCTCAAATTTTGTACTCCCTCTCCATTGTCTACTCAACCCACCTGGGTCATGTTTGTCATGTTCTTTGTCCATATGACAATAGTCCTGATACTGTGGCCTCTTTCTGCCCCTTGCATGATAACTTAACTGGAAAGGCAGAGATCACAAGAACCCTCATGGCACCCCAGGTACAAGCAAGCAATCTGGTTTGCAGATGGGGGCTTCGAACCCTGCTCCAACTTATTTTTTTCAACTTGAGTGATGCATCGGATGGGAGGAAATTCCTCCCACTCAAGCTCTGGAGTAACATCAGGTGGCGCTTCCAACTCAGAAGAGAGTCACTTGCAAAGGAGGGGGGAGGAGGTGGATGCAATACATTGTACCATTTTGAACTTAACACTTAGTGTTAAGATCACAGTACTTCTGTAAAAATAGACATACAATTTAGATCGTAAATTCCTCAGGTGCAAAGACCTTGCCATCAAGTATTCCTGTAAAGTATCATGTACACTAACATCACTATACAAAATAATAAAAGAGGTGTCCATACTAATGTCACAGCACAGGTTCTGTGATAAAATACTCAGAAACATGGAAGAAAAGAAATGACAATGCAAATGTCACATAATAAAAAATTCAAATGGATTGTTGGTCAGGGTTAATTACAAAAATCAATTTTGAAGTTCTGCATCTGTTTGCAAGATAGTTATTTATATGCATCTATTTTCCCCCTCAAAAACACCACACAATAGGCACAGCTATTTTAAAGTGATCACAGTAGCCCACTTCTCAAGATCAACAATACAGAAAACAAAATTATGCTGACATGGAAAAAATTCAATATGGCCTACAAACAGCTGGACTAATAAGTGGGAAGTTGGAAGAAAACGATTTTTTAAATTGGAGAGACACCTTGACACTGCCTGTTAAGTAAACATTAAGCATCATAAACCTGTTCAAAATGGATACTGCATATGAACACCTTAACCCGCGGGATTAAGTAGGGAAACTCAACATTCCCAATTATTTGGGTAGAAAATACAGCAGACCCCTTGACTAATCCATCACTGATTCCTAAGCTCACACGGAGCAGAAGCCCCGGTATCTGCCTGCCAGGCCTGCAGGTTAGCCCACACCACTGTAGCTGAGCAGCTGTCGCGCAGACACCGGAGATCTGCTTTTACTACTTACAAATCAGGATTTGTTTCCTCCCTGCAAACTGATGCCCTCGGTCTCTGCACCAGCCAGTCGCCACGCTCAGGCACGAGCCGCGCTGCTGTCACATCCCGGCGCGGCGCGGCGGAGCAGGCTCCAGGCAGGCGCCCGGGCTGTCACTCGGGCACCGGCACCGCCGCAGCCGCGCTCGAAACCAAACCCCCCGCAGCCCGGAGCCACGGTCACAAACGCCGCCACCACGCGCGGGCTGCTGACAGCGCGGCGCTTCCCCCGGCCCCCCCGGGAACCAGCCCTGCCCGCGAGGGCAGCTCCAGGCGCCAGGGGCTGAGGGGAACCGAGCACCCCCTGGCCATAGCCGGGGCGCGGTCCGGAGCAGGGGCCGCTGCCGCCCGCTGGTCCCCCCGGCTGCTGCTGCACCGAGCGCAGCGCCCGCCCCCCGGGCATCCGCAGGCTGGGGGGGGACAGCCCGGGAAACGAGCCTCCGCCTTACCTCCGCCGCCCCGCTCCTCAGCCGCTCCCGCCCAACATGGCTCGCAGCAGCGCCCCGCTCCGCCGCCCCCACCCCGCAGCCGCGGCTCCAGCGGCGCAGCCACGCTCAGCAGCCACCCGGTTGTGACGGCACAGGCAGCCCGGCCCCTCCTCCCGCCGCAGCCGCTCGCCTCGGCCCCCTCCAGGGCTGCTCCTGCCAGCGCATCCTCTGCCGCAGCGCCGGCAGCCCGGCGCGCACCGCCCCAGGGGCGCTCAGAGGGGCAGGTAAATCCCCTCTCCCTCCAGCAGGCCCAGGAGCCTCGTGTCCGGAAGCGCTGGAACAATGTGTATAGTGGGGGCGCTGAGAGCCACTGAACCAAGCTGTACACCCTGGATATGGTGGAAACCACTTCAAGACAGGGGGGGTGTGCGCGCGCCCCTAGTTCCTTCCAGCATCTGTGCTTGTGTCTCCACCTGCTGCACGCCTAGGCCCACACTTTCAACAGGAGGGGGCCTGCTCTGCTTGCCTTGTGCAAGCCAAAAGTGCAGCTGAGCACTATCCGGGCAATCTGCACTGTGTTACCTAGAGCCAATAGGGTGTGCCACGCTGTGCAGGATACAAAAAGAGACACTCCCTGACCCAAGGTGCCCTTGGCACTTCAGTGAGCACATACGATCAGCAACCGCACCCACAAGCTGTGGCCATCCAAGCCTGCGAACAGTACTGCTGCCAACCTCAAGCTTTCAGAACTGAGTCAGTCTGGTACCCGCCCTATGAATTGGAAATTTGTGAATGTCTTAAAAATAAATTGAGGTTTTGCTTATTTGTGTTAAGGTTTTGGAGCCTACTGGGTGCACTCAGTCACATCTTCAAGATTTGCTTTGAAATCATGAAGGCTAGAAAGTTACTTTACAAAAAAAAAATGAAAAAAAATTAAAGCTGAGGTTCTCACCTCAGTCTCAAGGAAGCTGGACTTTAAATAAACATTGAATAGCATAAAACCAGCAATGAAATCACATCTGTTGGCAACACATCCAGGTGGGGGGAGGGATAGCTCAGTGGTTTGAGTATTGGCCCCCCCTAAACCCAGGGTTGTGAGATCAATCCTTGAGGGGGCCATTTAGGGATCTGGGGCAAAAATCTATCTGGGGATTGGCCCTGCTTTGAGCAGGGGGTTGGACTAGATGAGGTCCCTTCCCACCCTGATATTCTATGAATTTTCTTTAAAAAGGAGCAAAATAAAAGGCATCCTAAGAGACACAGGTATTTAAGTTTTGTATTAAACATAACCTTACTGATTTCCTCTTCCATTTTTTGGTTTGATTTAAACATTTCCTGCAGTTTTTGAAACATGAGCATCTGAAAACAAAACTGACAAGTTTTTTCTCCATGACCTATTTAAAGTGCAAAAGTAAACTAACAGCACATGTAGGAAAAAGAAAATTATGTTTTGACTATTGCTGACTTTTATTAAAGTTATGTATTTTTAACAAGACAGACTAGGATTTAAGATGAGACATAACTCCAATGTAATTATAAAATAAAGAAAACGAGTCCCAATCCTGCAAGAAGCCCTGTGCAGATGGACCCCCATTTATGCAATCTAATTGGGACCGGGGCCAGATCCGCTAATCAAAAATTTGGATAATCAGGAGAATCGGTGAGGCTCCGGCAGTCAGCCCTGGGCAGCAGCTGGGCTCCAGCTGTCAGCCCCACCACCTGGTTCAGTTAAGGCAGACAGCCAGATAATGGAGGCTCAGATAACAGGGGTTGTATTGTATTTTGAAAAATTCAAGGGGCCACAATTGATATTTTAAGGCAAGCTTTCTGTTTCATTCTATTTCCTTTGCATAGCTCAGGGAAAACAAATGGAGAAGGTTTTACCCCCAAGTCACCTGCTGTGGATTCCCCTTAACAGTTGACAGCTAGCTCCTGTGTGCAGGGAACATATCAGTATGAAGAGTGGCTAGAGTATACTACTACAGTAGAACCTCAAAGATATAAACACCAGAGTTACGGACTGACCGGTCAACCGGAAACCATGTGAAACCAGTAGTAACCAATCAGGCAGCAGCAGAGACAAAAAAAGGCAAGTACTGTACTGTGCCTGTCTTGCATCTTAAAGGTAGGCACATCTGGACTCCCTGTCCCCACCCCAACCCCACTCGCGGGGCAGCCACTTACAGGCTAAGGCAGCTGGAGCCAGCAGAGCAGGAGTACCACTGGGGGTCTACATAGCTGTTTACACACACGCATGCACACACACACGCACGCTTGCCCAGAGTGGGACAAACTTGCAAACTTATGCCGGGGCTGAGTACAGAGCTCAGTTGCTGCTGAATCCTGGCCTGGAGTGTTAGCTGCTGGATCCTGAGCCCGAACTGCGCTTTGTTCAGGGTTAGAAACATTTCAGAGTTACAGACAACCTCCATTCCCGAGGTGTCCGTAGCTCTGAGGTTCTACTGTATATGGCTATCTCCAGCTAGTATGTATGCCCTGTAGAGGACTGCTGCCAGCTGCTGACTCAGGTTAGATCAGGCCCCAGGCTACTCTGATCCAGCTGGAGCAGAGAATCAGAAAGCCATAATTGTCTGCTTCTCTTTTCCTTTCTCCTGAGCAACTGTGTAGAGAAGGGAGCCATCTTTTGCTAGGTGCTCCCCTAGATTGAGGCAGAGCCAACAGAGCTTCCACCCACCGCACAACAGTGAAACAGGCAATGGAGCAACCAGAGCTCCTCCCTCTCTTGTGATGCAGCAGGCAGTCAGAAGGGGAGCTGTGAAGTTGCTCAGAGTAATCATGGCTCACACCAGAGCTACACCTAGGGCTACAGGGAAAGTGGCGGTAGGCAAGGCCTCCTATCGTCTCCCTGCATTGTCTTGGCTGATTCAAACACATAAAAATCACAGAATGTAGCTCAGAGAGCCTATTTTCAATTGATAATCAAACATCAATGTTTTTAACATTTGCCCGTAGCCACAGGTTAGAGCCTTGAGTGCCACATTTTGGACACCACTGATCTAAACTCAGAAACAATACATATTTAAAAATGCATACAAACATTATTCAAATTAACCCTCTTAAAAACAACAAAATAAAATGAATAGGAAGAGTCACTAAACAGATTTCCTATGTCTACCATAAAAAAAGAAAGAATCCCTCCAAAATAAGCCATCTGCTCATAAAAAGCCTGAGTGCACAGCCAGAAGGTCATAAAACATGTGCTCTGTCAGACCAAGATGGGAAATGAGTTTCAAAATAGGGGGCTCTCCACTGAGTATGCACCACTACCAGCACCCATAAGTATAATTCTAGGAATTTCAGCTCTAAGGTCCCTGATGATCTCAGCTGCCAGGAGAAAGAGGCAGTTCATCTGATACGCAGGACTCAAGTCATAAAGAGCTTTGTATACATTTTATTCTAGTACTGAACAACATGAATCTAAAGAAAGGATCTTAGACAAGTGATGTTCTGTGGTCCATGCCTGAAGCACGCACTCTTCCTATTTATTCTCACTGTGCCCACCATGCCAAGGACCCACAATTGATCTCTTCTGACCTAGACCTCCATATTTACAATCTGCAATAGTATTGTTCAACCCTCTTGATCACCCTGCAGCACTCATTGACGGAGTACAGCTGGGTATGTGAGTAAAAACCATCAAGACATGTTGCAACAGACATCTACTGAAAGATGTCTTCCCCCCCCCCAAAAAAAAAGACTTGTGGGAAAAACACATCCCTGGCCCCAAATTCACAAAAGAATAACCCATTCATAAACCTTACCGCCCCAGGCGTAAATTAAAAAGAAATTATACAATAGCATCATTTTACAAGAACATATTTTAAAATTAGAATCTATGAAATAAGTAATCATCTTCAGCCTGTAAATAAGTGGGGAGAAGTAACTGACTTTCAGTACTCCCAAAAGGCCAACTTCGCAGTTTCAGCATTCAGTTGACCTTATTTATTTACTGTTTCTTTCCCAACTCTTGTTAGATCCCTATTAAAAAGAAATCAACAGTAAAAATAAGAAACGTTCAATTCGGGGCTGGTTGTGATGCTGTCATAAATCAATTGAGATTTAATTGTGTGATTTATCTCACCAAAAACCTTGGTGGAATTACTGCAATTACTTCCTTCTGTCTCTTGCAGCCAGGGCCGGCGCTTCCACTAGGCGACCCTAGACAGTCGCCTAGGGCAGCAGGATTTGGGGGCGGCATTTTGCCAACCTCGGCGGAAATTCAGTGGCGGGGGGTCCTTCCGCTCCAGGTCTTCGGCGGAAATTCGGCGGCGGGTCCTTCACTCGCTCCGGGACCCGCCGCTGAAGTGCCCCGAAGATGCGGAGCGGAAGGACCCCTGCCGCCGAATGCTCCGAGGAGGAGCGCTGCTGCCTAGGGCGGCAAAAACCCTGGCGCCGCTCCTGCTTGCAGCCCATTGATTAATCCCTATTCATTAAGAACAGAGAACATCAAAACTCTCATCAAAAACACAGCTTCATATGAAAAACCCCCTAAGAAATATTTCGTAAAATACTGTGTCAGAAAAGTGTCTTAAATATATCACCTGCTAGTGACCTCATTATGGTC